AAAATAAAGCAAATTCCTAATAACATTTTACAGTTTTATAATATATTTGATAATTTGTGTTTAAGAATCAAAATTGCATACGAATTGCAACATTTAATCTGGAAAATGCTTTATACGCTCACGAAAAATTAGTTCTTTGTACAAATTACGAATGAATAAAATAGCTGATTACATTTTTCACCTTGCCCATGTCTACAAATTTATGTTTTTGACTCCCGTGTGCGAAGCACAAAAGGGAGTCTTTGCAGTTACCCTGTCTGTATGTCTGTATGTATGTATGTATGTATGTATGTATGTATGTATGTATGTATGTCACTTTTTTTGTTCCACCGTTATCTCAAGAACCACTAATCAAATTTTCGTGAAACTTGGTACATGACCCTTACATCCATGGGCTTTATGCTGGTACAAATGTTGCTGTAAATTAATAGTACCCAAAACCAATATCTTAGACTCATCAATTGAAAATTTCATATTTAATATTGCTGGTGGTATTTGTTTTGAGTTGAATATTTTCAGTGCTCTTGGACACAAGTGGTATGACTGCCACATATTGGTTGATTTATTCTTCAACATTCCATAGCAATCAAGTAACCTGTATTTTGTATCGGTTTTCAACAAGACGTTGTTTCACTTCGTTTAAATGTTTCCATAATCGCTTTACCATCAATTTTCTAGGAATCACAATATCATGTGCTGTTAGATTGTTCTCATGTCTACGAGTCATTTTGTGTTATTACACATTTAGTTTAACTTGTAGTGGCAATGTTTTCTTTAACTCTCTATAACTTGATGATATGGGAGGACGAATTGATGACCTGGAAAAGAACATTGCTGACTTGATGACCCAGGCTGGTGTAGATGAAGGTGTAGGACCTTGAACTCACAGTATTTAGCTTCCAGTTTGCCCAATACTAGATTGCTGTTAATGAAGAATGTGTATACAAAACTACTTATTATAAAATATAATGATTTTTAAATGGCTTTAAAAAATGTTGTGCAAACAAATAATTTAAATAAAATTAAATCATATCATGCTTAATATTAATCGATTGGCACTGTTCAAATTTGTGGTCTTTTTTGTGTGTGTTATGTTTGTCAAACCATAATCTTCGCCCATGCTGGACTTGTATATTTTTTACCCCTATTTTTCCATGTATGAAAACAATCTGAAAAAGATAATCTTGAAGAATTTTATAAGAATATTACCTCCAAATGAAGATGCAACTTTTTGTTAATATTATGTCACTTTTAAAGTTCAGTTTGTGACACATGTAAGTTAATATCATCAGTTATTGTTATTTTGTGACTGACAATATTCTTGTTGGTGCTTATTTTTTTAAAGAAAACAAGTTAATCCTAAACAATATTGTTTTTTCCCCATCTGAAATCAGCTTTATCGTCCAAAACTTTGCTTGTGTGTGAATTTTTCTTTCCTTTGTTTACTGTGATCATTTATTTGTTTACTTCTGGTGGTTGGGAAATAAAAAAAAACTTTCTGTACATTTATTAAGTTGTGATTGTTTTTAGTCCCCGTTCGGATGCAGTCCGAAAACGGGGACTTATGTTTTGACGTGCGTGCGTGCGTGTGTCTGTGCGTGTGTCCGGACCTGTATCTTAGAAATGCCTGGACCAATCACAATCAAACTTCACACATACATCATACATGATATTACACATATGCACGTCAATTTGTTTCACGATCTGAGTTAAGATGGCCGAATGGCGGCCATTTTTGTGCTAAAAATCATCAAAATTAAGCATTTCTCGGCTGTTTACAGATGGATTTTGTTCAAACTCGGTATATACGTTAGACATTATAGGACCTTGATGCACATCATTTTGTTTTACGATCTGATTCAAGATGGCCGAATGGCGGCCATTTTTGTGCTAAAATATCCTAAAAATCAACCATTTCTCGGCTGTTTACAGATGGATTTTGTTCAAACTTGGTATATACATTAGACATTATGGGACCTTGATGCAAATAATTTTGTTTTTCAGATAAGATTCAAAATGGCCGACTGGCGGCCATTTTGTATTAATGAATGTGGTTCTCGTGCCATATCTCTGACTTACTTTCACTGATTATGTTCAAATTTTAAATATTCATTATACATCATGTCATAGATAGACAGATATACTGGTTTGACGATCCTATTCAAAATGG